GAAGTCTATGTTCCCCTCTCTGTTTCTCAATAAGTCGGTTGAGACCTTTCATTGTGATGTTTGTGAATTTGCAAAACACCATCGAGTGTCATTTCCTTCTAGCACTATTAAAAGCAGGGAACCTTTTTCTCTTATCCATTCTGATGTTTGGGGCCCTTCTAAAGTGCACAGTGTTTCAGGTGCTAGGTGGTTTGTTTCTTTTATTGACGATTGTACTCGGATAACATGGATATACTTGATGAAAGACAAGTCTGAAGTACCAGAGATATTTATTCGGTTTCATCACATGGTTGAGACTCAGTTTGGTAAGGGTATTAAAAGACTCAGATCTGATAATGGTACTGAGTACGTCAATCAACGCCTGTCACAATTCATTTCAGACAGAGGTATGATTCACGAGCTCACATGTGTTTATACCCCTCAACAAAACAGGGTTGCTGAAAGGAAAAATCGTCACCTTCTTGAAGTTGCTAGAGCACTACTTTTTCAGACATCTGTTCCTAGTTCTTATTGAGGAGAAGCAGTATTAGCTGCAACTTTTTTGATCAACCGTTTACCTTCACGGGTCCTTAACAATATCCGTCCTATTCATTCCATGACTTCCTTCTTTCCTTCTGTTCCCATATTGCAGATCCTTCCACCAAGAGTGTTTGGATGTGTTGCCTTTGTCCATGTTCATAAACAACATCGGAGTAAGTTGGATCCTAGGGCTCTTAAGTGTGTCTTCCTTGGTTATAACCCTTATAAAAAAGGGTACAAGTGTTATCATCCACCAAGTCGGAAATTTTTTGTTTCTATGGATGTCACCTTTCAAGAATCTGAATCTTATTTCCTGGGTCCTCATCGTCAGGGGGAGAATAGTTCTTCAGAAGACTCGTCCCCTTCCTTCTTTGAGTCTGGATCAATCTTCTCTCTTCCTAGTGTGTCTGCTCCTGGTGTGTCAGAACCTTCAAATACACCTGAGATACAACCCATACTGTCTCACCAGCAACCTCAATCGTCTGAACCACTGGTAGGTCCTGAATCTCCTATTTCTTCTAAGTCTCCTGAATCTCCTGTTTCTGATTCTAATATTATTTCCTCTCATGATTTGTCTATTTCTTCTGATATCTCTAATGACTTACCCATTGCTTCTACTTCTGATGACTTACCTATTGCTCTTAGAAAAGGAAAAAGATCTTGTCACAAGAAAACTTGTTCCTCCTGTTCCTCTTGTACTCAATACCCTATCTCCCACTTTGTTTCCTCTGCTAATCTTTCTGTGCAGCACAAAAGCTTTGTTTCAGCACTAGATTCTATTGCAATCCCAAAATCAGTACATGAAGCCTTGAAAGATAGGAATTGGGCTCAAGCCATGCAAGAGGAGATGAATGCTTTGGAGAAAAATAAAACATGGGAGGTTATTGATAGACCCAACGGAAAGAAAGCAGTAGGGTGCAGATGGGTTTATGCCCTGAAATATAATTCTGATGGCACTCTTGAGAGATATAAGGCTCGATTAGTGGCCAAAGGTTACACTCAAACCTATGGCATTGATTATGAAGAAACCTTTACTCCAGTTGCAAAGATGAATACAGTGAGAATCTTGTTATCCCTTGCTGCCCATTACAATTGGGATATAAATCAATTTGATGTGAAAAATGCTTTCCTCAATGGTGAGTTAGAAGAAGAAGTCTACATGGAAATCCCGTCTGGTTTTGATTCTGTGAAGGGGGAAAATAAAGTTTGTAGATTAAAAAAGGCCTTGTATGGATTGAAGCAGTCACCTCGTGCTTGGTTTGGAAGATTTACTAAGGTTATGATGACCTTAGGATACAGACAGAGCCAAGGAGATCACACTCTTTTCTTCAAGCACTCCCAAAATGGGAAGCTTACTATGCTCCTTGTATATGTTGATGATATTATTATCACAGGTGATGATTTTGTGGAGAGACAGATTCTGCAAACACGGCTTGCCTCTGAGTTTGAAATCAAAGACCTTGGGAAACTGAGATATTTCCTAGGGATAGAAGTAGCTCATTCAAGCAAAGGAATTTTTATCAGCCAGAGGAAATATGTTCTTGATCTTCTCAAAGAAGCAGAAAAGCTCGGGTGCAAACCCTCTAATACTCCTATTGAGCAGAATCACAAGATGGGCTATGAAGAAGAGAGTCCTCCAGTTGATAAAGGACAATATCAACGGCTAGTTGGGAAATTGATATATCTGGCCCATACTAGACCAGACCTAGCTTATGCTGTTAGTGTTGTCAGTCAGTTTATGCACGATCCAAAAGAAAAACACATGCAGGCAGTAGAGAGAATTCTTCAGTATCTTAAAGGTACTCCTGGTAAAGGATTGTTATTCCGACGTGATGGCAATCTATCTTTAGAAGTCTACACAGATGCTGATTATGCTGGATCCGTGACTGACCGTCGTTCTACCACTGGTTATTGCATGTTTCTTTGCGGTAACTTGGTGACATGGAGAAGTAAGAAACAAGATGTGGTTGCCAGATCAAGTGCAGAAGCTGAATTTCGAGCTATGGCTCAAGGCATTTGTGAGTTACTGTGGCTGAAAATTGTTCTTGATGATCTCAAAATAAAATGTGAGGGACCTATGAAGCTGCTATGTGATAATAAGTCCGCTATTTGTATAGCTCATAATCCAGTTCAACATGATCGGACTAAACATATTGAGGTTGACCGCCATTTCATCAAAGAGAAACTTGATAGCGGGTTGATTACCACTCCATACATTCCCACTGGGCGTCAATTGGCTGATCTATTAACAAAGGGGCTTCCTTCAGACAGATTTCAAGAACTTACTAGCAAGCTGGGAATGATAAATATCTATTCCTCAGCTTGAGGGGGAGTGTTGTAAATAATATTGATTTAGTTATTATTTAGTTTTTATTTAGTCATTTATTGTTGTATTGGGCCAAGCCCTTTGTTGTATTGGGCCAAGCCCATTAGGTTAAAAGTAGGTCAAATATTCTCTATAAATAGAGAACCCTTTGTACAGATTATTTACAATTCTATAATATATTAGAATACCATTTTTCAAGTGATACGTTTATTGCAAAGGTTTGTTCAAAGGGTCACATTTTATATTAACCAATTATTAAACTCAATTAATTACTCTTTTAGCTACAAAGTAACAAAAAACTGAAGTAACTTGATTCAACTGAATTAACCATTTCTTAAACTGATACTCACATGCCTGAATTATAACATTCCACGTATCACATCTTATGAGGTATTTCAATTTTCAACCACACCACTTGTGAGTTGGATAGAATTTCCCTTTGTTGAGGAAGATCTTTCTTGGCAAGTAACTGTTAAGATATAAAAAAAATTTGTTTGGGAAAAAAAAATGTATGATTTTAATTTGAATAAATTTTTTTATTAGTAAATGCTTTGTTATCCAAATACAAATTTTAGTTGAAATTGATGGTTTGTTTAAGTTATAAATAACGCTAAACTTTCTTCTTCTTCTTTTCATTTTTTTTTTTTTTTTTTAAAAAAAAGAACTAGGGTCTTTATTGGAGACCAATAAAGAAGTGTTTTTTTTTTTTTTTTGGTACAATAAAGAAGTGGTTACAGATCATTGGAATTTTATCTAGTCTCTTTGTGTCACATTAGACCAAATGCATATAAGAAAATTACCAAGACTTTAAGGCTTTAGATCATTGGAATTAAATAATCTGTCTCCTATATAGTTTTCTGTAACATGAAATACTAGAAACGTAAAAAAAAGTATATTTCTATTTTGGTAAGCAGTATTATTTCTTGTTTTTTATTAACTATTCAACAGATTTATTGACTGACAAAAAATTAGTAATGAAGCATACCAAAAAAAAAAAAATTTAGAAATGAGATGTGAAAGGCGAATTTTTTTCTTTATCAATAATGATGGAAACTTTGTCTTATTCTAAATCAGCAAACATGTGGGAATGAATTGTCTCGTGTGTAATTGAATATGATCCCTTTTGTCATATTAGAAAATGTCGATTGTTTATAGACAAATTAATGATTTTTACTATTCAACTCTCTATCCCAATACTTTTTTTTAAAATTTCTAATCACCGATGTTTTTTTATAAATGGTTAAAATCTTCTCGCTGATTATGTTAAATCACACAAGACATAATTCCTTTCATGAGATGAATGAGGTTGAAGTGAAACCAGCGTCACCCAGCTGTAAAGCCCGGAAAAGCAAATTTTAAAAGATGTGTGTTAGATACGGACATGTTCTGATACGCGAGCAATATTTAGGGACACACGGTCAATGCTTCAACACACATTCGACACATTTTTTTTAGATCTAGATTTTATTTTATTAACTAAATATGAAAAAATAATTCATGAATTAATTTTTTTCTGTTATAAAATTTGACATGAAAAATTAACAAGTTACCAAAAATTATTTTTATTTATATTTATATTATGAAATTTGAATATTTGATTGATTATATTAATTAATATGGACTGTAATATATATTAAATATAACTTATATTATATATTAAGAATATTATTTAATATTAAAATATGTTCCAACATGTCAAAATATAATATTTTTTAAAATTAATATATTGACATCACTACAAGAAAAAAGTTTATTTGTGACAAAAATTTTCATCACAAATTTTGTCACAAATGACAATTTTCGACACAAATAATCAAATTTCGTCACAAATAAATTTGCGACTTAGAAATTTGTGACGAAATTTCATATGTAGTGACGAAATTTGTGACACTAATAAGATTTTTTCTTGTAGTGCATGTCATATCTAACATCCCATGTCATTGCAATATAGTCGGCCAGCACAAACTGAGGATAGTGAATTTGAATCATATTTGAAGAGATCGAAAGTGTCAATGAGCTAACATCCATTCACGTGGGGTCCTTGATATTTTAACGACAAGTGACACCATGCCCCATGTAACAGAAAGAAACAAAAGTAATTGACATGTATAAATAGCGCCGTTGCGGTAGGTCATGTAACCAAACAAACGAGTACTATAAAAGAAACCAAATTTTGGTAGGGTAGTGTCAATTGTCCCCCAGTCATGCCTAGTAGTAGTAGTACTAGGAACCCTCTTCTTGTTGGGCGTGTGATTGGAGGTGTATTGGACCCTTTTGAAAGTTCTATTCCTACGAGAGTCACCTACAACAATAGAGATGTGAGTAATGGCTGTGAATTCAAACCTTCCGAAGTTGTCAACCAACCAAGAGTAAGTATTGGTGGTGATGACCTCAGAAACTTCTATACTCTGGTAATTATGTCCCATGACTCATTCTACTGCTCTCTCTCTCTCTCTCTATATAGTAGATGTTAAAATTAATATAGTGGTTTCTAGCTTAATCCTATTTGATTTCATTTCTTTCACCACAGATTGCGGTGGACCCAGATGCACCTAGTCCAAGTGACCCCAATTTGAGGGAATACCTTCATTGGTGAGCGACAAATTGTGCTTCCAACATGCCTTATATATATAAGAAGAGGTAGGATCCTTTGACACCGGTGTCAAATTTGAAGTTTGACACCTCATCTGAGAGCCGTTAGATCAAAAAAGATCAATGGCATCACATGCTTACAAACCAGAGTCGTTGATCTTTTTTGATCTAACGACCCTCAGATGAGGTGTCAAACTTCAAATTTGACACCGGTGTCAAAGGATCCTACCTCATATAAGAATTCGTTTATAATTTTTTTTTACAAATTACACTAAGTATGACTGGTCAGACATAATATAGTTTGTAAAAAAAAATGTTTGTTAATATAACCCTACTTATATATATATATATATATATATATATATATATATATATATATATGATGATCCTCTGACATTAGTGTCAAATTTTAAATTTGACACCTCATTTGATAGCGGTTAGATAAAAAAAAAATCAACGACTCTGATTTGTAAGCATATGACACCATTGATCTTTTTTTATCTAACGGCTATCAGATGAGATGTCAAATTTGAAATTTGACACCAGTGTCAAGGGATCCTACCTCTATATATATATATATATAGGGAAAAATATTTCTATAGCCACTTTAGATAAGGTTATCTACAGCTACCCTTTTTAACTAAGTACGACCGGTCGTACTTAGTTATAACAATAAAACTGCTCTTTTTTTCTCTCTCCTCAGACATTGTCGGCTGACGTGGCGGAGAGAGAAAATGCACTTTTAATGTACGACCGGTCGTACTTAGTTAAAAAGGAGTAGCTGTAGACAACCTTATTTAAAGTGGCTGCAGAAAAGTTCGATATCTTATCCGAGTGTCGTTAGATCAAAAAAGATCAACGGCGTCACATACTTACAAATCAAAGTCGTTAGATCAAGACAAGATTAACGACTCTCAGGTGAGATGTAATAGGATCCTCTATATATATGTCTCTTGTGTGTGAACTGATTTTCTACCTTTATACTTCAGTTTTATACTTCAGTTTTGTAATATTATACCTCTCTTTTCTCAATGTATTTCAGGTTGGTAACTGATATTCCAGCAACTACTGGGCCTACTTTCGGTATGTATGAATTTTGTACTTGACAACTTTGATAGATTAATAGATCAAAAAATTCAATCATTTATTATTAAATTAATAGTCAACAATTAAATTGATTATTCTTTTCGTTTTACAAGTTGTCATTAAAATTATTACATTTGATCTGTCAATAAGAGATGGATGGAATTTTTACATGGCATTTTCACGTTAAAATAACACATTAGAGAATCAATTTCCTACTTAAGTATTAAACCTATCATTTTTGTGCTTAAAACTTTCCAGACCATTACAGAAAAAAAAAAAAAAATCTTAATGCTAAACTGAAATATATTATTACATGATTATATTTTGGGAAAATATTTTCTCCTTTTAAAGAAATTTTTTTTTCTCATGTTAGTGACTCATACCATAAGTGGGTCCCACCTTGAAACTTTTTCTCTCTCCACTATTTTGTGGGCCACACTTATATTATGAGTCAGTAACATGAGAACAGTTTTCTTCTTTAAAAGGAGAAAATGTTTTCCCTTATATATTATAATGACACGTTTGCATTATTTGCACAGGTCATGAGGCTGTAACTTACGAAAATCCACGACCCTTGATGGGGATTCATCGTATTATCTTTGTGTTATTTCGTCAACTGGGTAGGCAAACAGTATATGCTCCAGGATGGCGCCAGAATTTCAATACTAGAGAATTTGCTGAACTTTACAATCTTGGATTGCCAGTTGCTGCTGTCTATTATAACATTCAGAGGGAGGGTGGCTCTGGTGGAAGAAGGTTATATTGAAAAGCTTAATTTAGCTAAGAAAATTAGATAATTGAAGAAATAAACCAAGTCCGAAGCTTCCATAAGGGTTTTGGATTCAAAATCAACATATACCAAATCAATATGTTCAAAAGATATATTAATTGTTGCTTTGTAACTGAGTTTTGAACATATTTGGTTCATAATATGTATTAATTATCAATTGAGAAAAGTTAAAGATATATGTAAAAGTCGAACATGAGCTTAGCTCAAATTAAATGATAGAATATGTATACTTTGGCTTCCCATTTTAACCACTACGTTCCGATATATTATTTCATATGTACGTAGTTGCAATGAATATCTTATGTTATAATTTTACTCTTCCGAAAAAAAAATAAAAAAAAATCAACCAGAATCAGAAACGATCAAGGACCATGCATAAAGTTGAATATAAAAGCGCTTATAATTAGTAGATATATATATATATATATATATATATATATATATATATATATATATATATATATATTTTTTTTTGGAATATCTTAAACTTAGGCAAGTTGCTTTCTACGTAATAAGGTGGGCTTCGTGTCGTTTCTGGATTGGTGCAGATGTACAAAATGTTCCTTAAACGACAATTGGTCTAAATGAAATGAATGAACCGAATTTAACCTTAATGGCATGTAGGTTTTAACATATATAAGGTGGGCTTCCTGTCGTTTCTGGATTGATGTAGATGTACAAAATGTTCCTTAAACGACAATTGGTCTAAATGCAATGAATGAACCGAATATAACCTCAAAGCATCGTATTTAGATACGAAAGGTGAAGGTACAGATACTTTGAAGGTATTAACTTTTTTTGTGTGTGTCTGTTATGTTTCAATTTCATCGTACAACGTTGAATTTTGACGGAAATTGCCTATCACATTTAAGCATCTTACTTTTGTAAAACTTAATATCTGGTGTTTTTGTTAGATAGTTTTATCACTGGATCATTGGCCCAGATTCATGCTTCATTTATTAATAAAAGATAAAACTAGTTTATTATCCGTGTGTGATGGACGCAGAAAAAAAAAATCAATTTGTTTGTTTCGTAAGAGTTAACGTAAATTTTAAATAAATTTTACCAATAAAAGCTTTTAGGACATAATTATTAAACAAATAATTAAAAAATAAAATAGATAAGGGATTTGTAACTAAATATTGAATGATGTCTATAATAGACTCTAAGAATGTTATAGTGACTCTAAAACTCTGTAATAATAAATTTCTTGGAAGAGATTTCAGGGGTGTAACACCCCGCGTATACCCAGTTTGTTAACATGTGATCGTATTAAGCCACGCTTAATAAAATATGCGGAATAACTTTTTTTTCTTCAATTATGACGCCATTAACTTAGCCAAGTTGAATTACTTAACCATTTTCATAAAAACATTGTCTGTATGTAAATTGCAAGGACAATTAACTGAAATACCTCATAAAATAGATTAACTATGTGTATCTAAATCACGGAACTACGACACATAGTCCGAACCATAATCCTAATACATTAAAACAACCCAAGTCTAAAATAGCAAAGTCAAGTCAACGTGGCATGGACAATCCCATGCTCACCAAAATAAGACAACAAAGCCCAACGAGGGTCTCAACATCAATAATCATAAAGACTGTAAGCATAAACAACATCCAATAACCAGTCATGTCAGCATACAACATATATCAATCAACTAAGTTCTGGCATCCTGCCGCCAGAGGTCTCAATCCCAGCATTACCTGAACCTGAAATAGTGCCCCAAACGTGGGGTGAGATCTCTAAACAGAAATCTCAGTAAGACAAGGGTCCTCAAGGATCTTCCACCCCAAACTCACTTATATGTTCAATATAAGTTCAAAAGCAGATAATAAAATAAGTTCCAAAATAGTGCAATGCAGCAGATAATCATGTCATGTGTGTTCTAACAATTCTACTGATAAGAGAAGTGCAGGAATACGTCTATTACCCACACAGTACCAACCTATGTTGTACCCGCCTACAGGACCACCCCATGGCCTTCTGTATAGGCGTAACACCACATGCATATCATAAGCAATTGCACATAACAGCTCAATAGCATTTCAACAAAACAGTACATGAAAACACATCATGCATATAACCATACCCCCATGGGACATGGTGGAACCAACAATGGCTAAACCGAAGACACGAAAGCTTACCTGTAGTGCCAAAATCCTTATCCAAAGGCTTGGTATAAACAGACACACCGACAGTCACACAGTCCGACAGATGCAATCTGTTTTATGTACAAAATATCATTAATAAACAGATTCTACAATTTCATGACATTTAGACTACACTTTCTTTTTCGTTTAGCGTACTGCAGGCTTCTCCTAAAGCTCCCAAGCACAAACTGTCTTTACCATTTTTAAAATTTCAGTTGTAAATATTTACCAAATATCCTGAAATTTTAATATGTTAAACTAGACATCTCAAGCTTTCCAAAGACATATTTTATGTCTCAATCGAAGTTGTATAACTCTGGTTATGATTTTCGCAAAGTGACTGTTGCAAGCTGAATTTCCAGCAGCCAAGTCGCGAGTTAAAACTAACATTGAGATCAAACCACTTATCCAATGGTACTAAATGTTACAGGGTTGTAGCTCTATGTGTTAGCTACACATAGGTCCAAACGGAACCCAATTTGGAGCTCTGTAGCTCGAGATATTGAATTTTTAGCAAACTATGTTCACTGTCGATTCCTGTACTCAGGTACCAGGGTATGTACCCGGGTAAGTTGCTGAAGAACATCTACTAGGGTAAGGTTGAAGATCTACCCGGGTAGAACATCAGCAGAACCCAGATTTTGACCAAAAATGCCAATTTTCGCAAACCAAAACCACAATTTATCATTTTTAAGGTTCATAGAGGTTCAAGTTACCCTTTTAACGTATGTTCTACCTAGTAGTCCACTAAGTTATCATTTTTACTCCTTGTTCTGTCTGAAAGACAGAGATGTCCAACCGGTGGATGGTATATTTTATGTAGGATCTAGGTGTCCTCTCTCAAGTATCTATGAATGAGATACCCTTGAGCGTAGGCCGATCACTGTGCACAATAATAATCGACATAGTCAAGGAGTGAGGTGTGTGCACAGTGACAAGCTAAGAGAGAGAGTTTTGAGAGTGTGTACCTTATTGATTTAACCCCGTATTTATAGATGGGTTACCTGAAGGAGGGTACTTCTGGGCCTCTTAGGAATATTGGGGGCCCAAGTCCAACTACTTAGCTGTCTGGATAGGATCGTCATCAATAGGAGATTCCCTTCCCTTTGTGTTGTCCTTTGTTGGTCCTTCTAGAATATGGGCCTTTGTCAGGTCCATAACAGTTGCCCCCCAGCCCGGTAGTTTGGTTGTCCAGGCTGCCGGGATGTAATAATAGTAATCTCTTCATTTAATTCTGCAAGTCTGATTTCTTATCAAAACTTGGATGTGCTGCTTTCTTAACAATAATTTTGATTTATCCGCAAGAACTTGATAATCTAAGGGTGTCCCCCTATCTTCCAAGATTATTTACCTCGGCTAGAACTCACGTTCTTGCTATTTTTGCAAGACGGGTTCAATACCTTGGCATTATTGGCCGGGCTAGAACTCTCAATCTTGCCCGTAGGCAAGACGGGTTCAATACCTCGACGTTTTTGGGCCGGGCTAGAACTCTCAATCTTGCTCATTTTGGCAAGACGGGTTCAATACCTCGACATTATTGGCCGGGCTAGAACTCTCAATCTTGCTCATTTTGGCAAGACGGGTTCAATACCTCGACGTTTTTGGGCCGGACTAGAACTCTCAATCTTGCTCATTTTGGCAAGACGGGTTCAATATCTCGACGTTATTGGCCGGGCTAGAACTCTTGTAAGAACCCGCACCGTTAATTAAGGAATTTAATTAATAAATTACGAGAAAATAGGAAATGATTCCATAATTGACCCTAATAATTATTTATGAGGCTTAATAATCGTAATAAGTGATTAAGAATGCTGAAAGTTGATTTTCGGAATAAAAGTGCAGATACCGGTTCTGCTAGTCGGTATAAATGCGTGCCGAAAAAGTATCCCGGAAAATCAATGCAAGTGCATGATAATTACTAGAATAATATGTAGGACTTTTAAAACGAGTTTCAAGTCCAGATAATGAGAACTGGTGCTGGAAACTGGTACTGGCTTGGAAAAGCGCGTACTGGAAAAGTGCTCAGAAAATTATAAGAAAAATATGATAAATCTTAGAAAATTATTTAGTTTCATAATCCAAAGTTTGGGATTAAAATGCTAAGCGTAGCAATTAAAGTTAACATTGTGTGTTTAAGTGGCTTGGGCTATATATACCCTTTGTAAGGGCACAAAACCCTAGAAAACAGTTTCTCTACGTGAGTGTGTGAGGGTGGCTGATCAGCTTGGCTGACTTGTGGGGTTTCTTCTCCATTTTGGGTCCAAGACACTTCCTTTCTTGATTTTCTTCACACTTTCACTTGGGATACACTTGGTGAGGGTGAGAGCTAGGCTTGGGACTCTATTGCTGGTCTTTTCTGAGTTGAGAGAGCTGCTGTGTGTGAGGTTTTGAGGCTGACTTGGGTTGGTTGTGTGTGGAAGCCTTTGTTTTGGCATTGTGAGGTCCAAGAAGCTTCCTTTGTGTTGAAAGGTCCAAGCTTGTTGATCCATTTTCGTGCACCTTGTTGAGTCAATCTTGAAGGGCTGATTGTGAGCTCCAAAGAGCAGCCTCTTCTTCTGTTTTGGCCTTTGGTATGTATACCAACCTTTAATCATGAGTTTAATGCTTAAAAATGAAAGCTTGATGCATGTTAAGGTTAAAAGATGATAACTTGTTGTTGGGTGAGGCTTAACACATCTAGAAATGCATGATTAGGTGTTTAAAATCGGTAAAAAGGGAACCCTTGAGGGATATCTTCACGAAAATGCAGAAACTGCATTCTGTCGTGAGATATCCGGATATTTTTCGAACTGATATCCGTATATTGGATATCCGGATACGTGGTTTTGGGATATCCGAATATTGGATATCCGGATATGTGAATCTGTATATCCGGATATTCTGGGATTTCGCAGAACAGCAGCTGTGCTGTGTGTACAGTAGGCTATTGGGGGTTTGTGGACCCTAGTTTGATGAAGTTGAACTTCTGTATTTAATGGATTAAGCCTGAATCATGAGATTAAGGGCTTGTGGCTTTGTTAGAAGCTTTAAGA